GAACATAAGCTGAACTCACCAATCATCTGTCAGGAGGAAACTGATGGAGCAGGAGTCTAGGGTCATCATCAAGCTATGGTGCACAAACTGCAGGGAACTGAGCTGCCATTGCCCTGAGTTGGTGGAGGTCTTACTTAGGGATGGGTACCTTTGACATTTGAATCTATCCGGTACTAATTCCCGGTACCTAGGAATCGATACCGGTACTTAACGGTACCAATTTTCGATACTTTTGAGTGTTTATTATTTTAATTCTCTTTTATAATTAAATATATATTTTTCTCAATATATAACAATATTTGATAAATGTCACGATAAATAACATTCAACTGCTTGTATTTTAACATCGTCCTTGTAGTTTTATAAGCTGATAATTAAACTGAAGCAAACATCTTTACTGTGAACTAAATTTACTGTGTATCTTCATTCCTTTTACCGTCTTTTTTCATTTGATTTTTCCTACTGGGAAGTTTGAATTTCCGAGGAGAAATCGAACGCACCATTAGCTGATAACAACGGTAGCAATGGAAGCTAACATATCAAGCTAACGTTATCTTTAACAGTTTATTTAACTGCTGGAACAGATTAAAACGATGATGCCTCACACTTCGATCATTGTCACTGGTTTCATTTTCACCCAATCGCCCGTCGCATTTAGTAAAGTGAAGCCAAACTTTAGAGCGCGTTCATGTTCTTCTAGTCGGAAATTCGGAGTTCCGAGGAGAAGGCGAACGCACCAATAGCAGAACGGAAGCTAACAGATCAAGCTAACGTTATCTTAAACATTTTATTTACTTACCGGAGCAGATTAAGATGAGGATGTCTCACTTAGATCGTTGTCGCTGGTTTCATCATCACCCAGTTACCCATCACATTTAGTGAAGTGGACCCAAGCGTTAGCATGCGTTCTTTCTACCATGCTGCTCTGTTTACAACTGGCTCACAGTGAGTGACGACATGCGCAGCTGTCTAGGCAAGCCCTCGTTATGAAGGACGGGTACCGAAACGAGGCACCGTTTGAAATGACGTGAATCGGTGCTCGGTTGGTACTGTGGAATTCGGTCGGTACCTTAAAAAGTACCGAATTCGGTACCCATCCCTAGTCTTACTGCTTTTATCTGCCCAGGACCGCATGTTTACATTCCATTAGGAGCATTCTCCAGAACAATCACCACTCCTCTGACATTAGTCAAAAACCTGCTGGAGGACTGAAATCATGAACGTGTCACTAAAGTTTTAGACCTCCTGATGGGTAGACCACAATCTGTAAAGATCTGTGATGCCTCCTCAGCTCTGGCACTCCACCAGGAAGTGTTTGAGCCTCTTTCTCACAAATGAGCAATCTGGTGATCACAGTATGAAATTAGGTGGCATCGCTGTTTGTGGTTTGATCTCCAACCATGGGCCCATGTGTAGAGGAGCATGCTGATGGATGTAAGGTAAATAACCATTATTAATGTAGTGTCCAACAGTAACACCCCCTTTCTCTGGAGGACATTCACTCAGAACCAGAACCCCTCTATCCACCCTCATTCCTTCAGGTAGAAGATTAAACAACCTCTGTACTCGACGCAAAAGAGATGATCTGTATTAGGGATGTCCCATTTCGATATCTGCCCAAAAACACTGCATTGGATTATATTGGATTGCATCAGAAATCTCCGATATAAACAGTCCATTAAGGTTCACATTTTTGCAACCAATGGTTAAAAAAATTTGCCATTTTTTTCATTCTTACTGTTATTGGTGCTTGTTTTCCGATTTATTAATATCACTTAATCAAGCCTTTCATCCATTTCACGCTGCAAAATAGGTAAAAGTATGTATGATTTGAGCTTACATTGTATCAGATTGATATCAGTATCGGTCAATACCGAAGGCTGCAACATCGGTATCGTATCGGAAGTGAAATGGTTGTTTGGGGACATCCCTAATCTGTATGCAACACAGAAACCCAACGAGCTCGACACTGGTGGAGGTGTTCAACACTCTGCTCCGGCTTTTTGTCAGACTGAACCAGGAAACAACTGCAGGCAGAAAGCCCGGAGCAACCTGTGACTCCACCCCCTAGCCGACAGTCGCTGACTGGTCAGTCGTGTTAAAGGTCATGACCTACAGCACTAACTGCTTCTGGTGTGGCTGAATAAGAAGGTCTTTGTCTGAATGTTAGGGAAAAAGCTATGTTCTCTGGGATATTTCCCTGCAGCCACGGGATGGGAAGCTCCTGTTATTCCTGCCCTGCCCTGTCCTGATCCCAGATCCATACTCATCCATTCCACTTAACCAGGAGTCACACGTTGTCTAAAAAAAGAGACCTCCTCACACATCCACATCATCTCCTCTTCAACAGCAGAACAACTACACATTAGATAGGTTAGCTGTGAGTAGCAGGAGGACCACGTTACCCAGACTGCAATAGGTTTGAGTCCATTCTTGTTCCATCGCTCAAAAAGCGGTTCAATGGTGTGTATGTGTGAGTGTGTGTGTGTGTGTGGTAGAGAAGAGGGCTTTTTAGTGATCATTCTTGGAGTCATCATTTGTAAACTAATTCTAACATTCTAATGGTCTTTATCAGCAGTAACACAGCAGTCCTGGGCCTCACATGCACTAACACTAGCACTGACACACTCACTCACTCAGAAGCAGCCATTTAACACAAATGATATGCTTGAATGATAAAGAGGCCCGTGGCAATAAGAGGTTAGTTTAACGTTGGCTTTTACTGCCCCTCATAACGCTAATCACTCTGATTATTATACGACTGAGCTGGGGTGAGTGTGTGTGTCCTCAGCCGCTAGCCAATAGTAGCCCTCTCTCTCACTCCCTCACTCACTCACGCATTCACTCGCACACATTTGTGTAATGGAAATGACCCCTCTGTGTATAGCATTGTTGTGTTCTGCATTGTAGCCCAACCGTCAGCTAACAGCCCCACCAGGAAATTAAAAGCCATAAATTCAGCTCAGTGCTGATAATGAATCTCACACACACACACACACACACACACACACACACACACACACACACACACACACACACACACACACACACACACACACACACACACACACACGCGCGCACGCGCACGCACACACCACTCCCCCTTAGCCAGGAGCCACACATCCTTCACCGACAGTGAAAACTTTCTGATGAGCTCAATGTTTGGCTGCTTGGCTGTGGCAATTTATCAGCTGGTTGCTTTCATCCATTCAATAGAAATCAGATTATATTAGGCCACACCCACCAAGCCCTGATCTGGTCTAAAGCAGGGGCCATCAACTAATATGCTCAAAGGGCCACATCATCATACCTGACGATACATGTGAGCGTCATTTACATTAAGCTTTACTATATTATATTACTCAGGCGCAAGAGACAGATAACCACACACTAGCTACACACACACACACACCACAAAAGGCTGTTGACAAAATGCACGTAATCGCCAGCTCAAGACGTACGTACAGTAACTGCATCTTAGACATGTGTGTTCTTGTGTTAGGATTGGTGGATTAGTAGATAGAGCATCTGTCTTTTCGCTCTGTTTTGTCGTGTCCTGACGTCAGTTTGATTCCTCGTGTCTGGAGTAGGGTTGTCACGGTGTGAAAATTTAACCTCACGGTTATTGTGACCAACATTATCACGGTCTTCTGTCAACTGTCCCTCTGCATTCTTCAAATATCCAAAAAATGTCCATACTTTCCACTTTGTCTTCTTTGAGGGATAATAAATGTCCTGAGCGCTGCCGTCTCCTCCTTTGGCCATTATTTCAGCTTTAGCTTCAAGAAAGTTTTGGTTGTAAACAACAAAGTGCGCATGTGCCGCCACCAACTTCAGCAGATGATACGGTGGCTGGTATGGGTCACCGCGCCTACACCGCAGCCACGGTAACCCACCGAGATAATATAGTTTTTAAAAAACAAGACGGTTATTATTATTGTCAACTATTTTACCGGGGTTTACCGCTACACCGGTTACCGTGACAACCCTAGTCTGGAGTAATTTATTTAGCTAGCCGAAGCAGATTTTATTTTATATGTTTTAGTTTCAGCAAAATATTTTGTGTTTCTGAAGATTCTTAAATTTGGTCATTTCCAAGCAGCATTTCAGTTGCAATGCTCTGGAAGTCCCATTGATCTACTCTGCTCACCTCGCACGGACTCACATGGGCTTCAGCTGGCCAAATAAACAAGGAAAGTAAAACAGATTAGTCCTGATATTTTAAACAGTTTACCAGTAAAGGGTTAAGAACGTAATGCCGGCAGGAAGTGTAGCTTAAAAAGAAAAATAAATGACTGCAGACACGAGGAATCGAACCGGGGTCAGGATATGGCAAAACGACGTGAGAGGCAGATGCTTTAACCACTGACCCACCAAACCTAATGTTACGGTGTAGTTGCCTCATACAGGCATGCATCCCTGTGGAGAGGACGTGCGTTTATTACGAACGGTATTTTGTCGCCATAGCTTTTCTCACCTGACTAAACACACAGATGTATGAACTTTGAAAGCTCTGATTTCACAATTATGTGAATTTTATTCAGCAGCAATATGGATGTAACAAATCACATTATTAACCAGAGGTTCAGTTACATTTTTCCCACACATTTTCATTGTTGTTGCCTTTAAACACAAATAATACATGGACTGTATCTATGCCATTAAAGTTTGGAGGTTGTTTGGTGATCATCCATCTAAACCAAATTCCCCCACAAGCTGGTCCAGTTTCCACTAACATGTTTAGAATGATGTCCCGACCACTAGGTTCAAGTCTGGGCTGAATTCATGAGTTGCCTTCAGGAACCAGAGCCAGTTCTGCTCCAGGCGGGTATGTGAGGGTTCTGGAGTAAACCTGGCAGCTTCCTGATCCCAGAGGCTCGTCAGTAACTAGTTGTCCTCCTTAGCGTCGCAGTGTACTTGTTTAATACCCCGTTTAGTTCCGACATTTATGTGATCTTTATCTTGTTTTTAAATACGTAACCAGAACTCTTCTTCCTCAGATGACGGCTCCCTTAGATGATGATGAAGAGGAGGATGACTTTGAGGAAGTTCCAGAAAAAGAAGGCTATGAGCCACACATTCCTGAGCATCTACGAGCCGAGTACGGTCAGTTTAACCAAACACACACTTGCGTGCCCACCATCAGCTCACAGACACGTGCATAAATAGGGACGTTAATCTACAAAAGAAGACCTGCTGCTGCACTAATCTCGGGGGTTTTCCTCTCATGCTTTGAAAACAAACAAACTGCAGCTGCTGATGAGTTTGTCCACCTCAGAGACTGGACCCGTCAGACTAACGTGGGTCGATGTTCACATATGATCAAACGAACAGAGTCTCAGAGGCGACCGTGTCAGTCTAGCTGCTGTTGGCCTCAGATTCATCTCACAGGTGTGGACATTGGATGTCTCAGGGGTCAGGATTTGGCCCTGTGATGAGTGGGTTGCTGGTTCCATCTTAGGCTCACATCAGTTGTTGTGCCCTTGAGCTAGACACTTCACCCCTTAGCTGCTGGAGATGGTCAAAAGGACCGGTGGTGCCTTTTTATGGCAGCCTTTGCCTCTGTCGGTGTGCCCCAAGACAGCTGTGGCTACAATGTAGCTCATCACCACCAGCTTTTGAATGACTGTACTGTAAAGCACTTTGAAGTCGTCTGACTTAACAGTGCATTTGTATTATTATTATTATTGGGTGTGGCTTTGTTCTGTGTGGGTGTATGGTACACCACCTTTAATTCAAACCCAGAACCAGAACCAGAACCAGCCCTCTGAAGTCAGCACATCCCAAAGCTGGTCCTCACACACTTGCATCCGTCTTTAAAACACGGCTTTTCTTACAGGAAGTTGAAACGTGTCCTGTTTCTACAGTCCGGAGTAGGGACGTGACTGCTCCTACCAAATGAGAATGTAACTTTGGGAACACTGACACAGGTTCGCCGCTTTCACAGCATGCATCTAAAATTCACCTTGGTTATAGAAAAGAGGACGTCTGTAAATGTCTGAAAGGTCTACATTCACCATGAGCACTGAAACCGTTTCAAAGCGTTAAATCAGGTTAGATGATTTCTGCAGAATCCCAGCTCTCCATAGAAACCCAACGGACACCACTAAGAAAACCAACACATTGAGATATCTGACATGAATCTGCTGTTTGCTGGTGGTGTATGGAGGTATGTAGGACCCCGACTGGAGATGGACCATTGTAGTCCAGATCAAACCCGTTCCTGTGCTGCTCCATCTGTGGTTTTCCTCCTGCTCCTTGTTGTTCTCATGTTCTATGTAACTGTGCTCTTGCTGTTTTAGCCATGTTGTTGTAGTTGGAGGCAATGACCTTTAACCCCAGCAGCTTCCTTGGCATCCATTCCAAACCTATTTTTACCTGTGAGCCGGCCCCTCCACTCCCCCTCCTGCTATTACTAATCAATTAGAGGCTAGTGTAATTAGATTGTATCTGAGAGCAGCTGTGTGTATGTGTCTGTGTCAGGGTGATTAGTGAGGTAGGTAATGATCTAGAGGGGCCATACCAAATTAGCAGTGCAACCTCTTAAATGAGCCCCCATTAGCCCTGCTTCTAGGCTAAACCACCCACTTTCACATCCTACTGTCCTTTTATGAATGATACAGAAGTGCTTCAACCCCTTAAAGAGGGAAATGTTTCCTCTGAAGCACAGAAACGCCCGTAGCTCTGGACTTTCCACAGACTTTGCTTTTGTCAGACTTACACCAGTGAAATCAGAGTCCTAACTGGGGCTCATAACTCCAAAACACTAAAAGCTTTTGT